TAAAATGTTTAAATATTTTAAACTTATATAAACTATTTATAATTTATAAATATTATTTATTATGCAAAAAAATAAATTCGGTAATCTCTCTTTTAATTCACTTAATAGTATAAAGCATTCGAATACACGTACGTATGTACTAAGCCTCAAAGTGCTGCGCGATAATGCACATTTGCGAAAAATCAGATGTAAAAAAAATTCTTTTTTTTTGAATAAACAAGTTTTTTTCTTATAATTCACATAATTGCATTATTGTCTTATGCTTCATGAAGAGGTTTGTAATGTAAAATGTTTTAACATTCTATTATACTTAATTGCATTGTACCACAAAGAACAAAGCGCGTTCGAACGCGTATGTATTAAGCCTCAAAGTGCTGCGTGATAATGCACAACACATTCAGTCTTGAGAATTTTTTTTTTTTTGAAAAACAAGTTTATGGATAACAAAGAACAAAGCGTTTAATACGCGTACTAAGTTTCAAAAATGCTGCACGATAATGCGCATTTTGCGAAAAATCAGGTCTTGAGAAAATGTAAAAAATTTTCTTTTTTTTTTAAAATAAACAAGTTTTTTTTTTTTTAATAACAAAGAAAGGCGTGTGTTAAGTCCCAAAATGTTGCGCGATAATATATATATATATTTTTGAATCATTAACAAGTTTCTTACAATTATTATGCACGAGAATTAGTTATGCAGAGTTAGATTTCAATGAATTTATTTAAAATCGATAGAAGTACCTTTTAGACTGCGAAATTGCATTTTTTTAAAATTAAATTGTCAAAATGGATTTCTTCAATATCTTTTGCTTCACAATATTTTTATTTATTTGTTATTCTACTATTGATTTGTTTATCTATTTGTCCCAAACTGAAACCACTCAGGAAGTATTTACTGAGTACCTGATCGATGATGAAGAAGAATTTATTCATGTAATATATGATGACGAAATGTTAGAAAATGGAAGTCACGCAGTAAAAGAAGCGAATGATGATGTTGCCCATACAAAAGAAGTACCTAATCACAAAAAATCATATGCTCAAAGAATTCAAAAAACTGCTCTATTGCAAGCAAATTTTCAAAACTATTCCGAAGATAAATCAGAAAATGAATTTAAAAAAAATAACAACAATGCACTCCAACAAAATGCAAATGCACTTCCCATAAAAAATATAAATGAAAACATCTCTAAACAAAAAAATAAACGAAGTAATAGTCCAATTGACCAAGCAAATTTTGTTTATACAAAACTTTCAAGCTATAATGTAAAGAATCGAAGTTTAAAAGAAAGAAGAATTTTGGCAGATTTAGAGATAAAAAGACTTTTAAATAAATTGGGTTCAATTAATCCATCTTTAGCCGATGAATGGTGCCAATTCTTTCATTTCTTTAACAATTGCATTGAAATTATTGAGTCGAGTTTAATATATCTCAATAATATTATATTTTACAAGTTACACTTCAATTCAAAAAAAAAAAAAAACATTTCATAGAATAGTTTAATATCGAATTAAATATAGAATAAGAGACACCTCCAGCAAGTTTCAAAGGACAAAGAATTAGCCGTACTCAAGTAATCGAGTAATGCAACGCAGCACAGCTTCATGTGACCAATCAGAATTGCGCAATCAAAATTGGATACATGAAGTAGTGCTGCTTCACATTTCGCGATGACGTGAATACAGCTAATTCTTCGTCCTTCGAATTTTCGCAGGAGGATGTTACCTTCTATATTTAATTCTTTTTTTTTTAAAAAAAAAAAAATTACGATAAAATTAGTCCTTGTAATATGTAATATAAAAAGATTTTTTCATAAAATTTACACGTCTTAAAAAAATAAAGTGCCAATTTTTGATTAATCAAGTATTATTTTTTTTTATCATTGTTTGTAAATCAACTTTTTATATATTTACATTCGAAGAAACTTTTTCTTTAATAACATTTTATTATTAACGACAAATGAAATTAAATATAACTACATATATCAACAATAATGATAGAATATTTATAACGCTAAATGTCGAATCAAATTTAAATGATATATAAATGAATACAGGGTATATCATTAAAATGTAAAATATAACACCCCGGAAAAATACAAAAAAGTGATAAATGAAACAAAAAGACATTTGTAACCAAAAAACATGAATGTGCAATGAAATATACTATATAAAAAAGGGAAAAGTATAAATTTAGATAAGATAGGATACATAATAACCAGAAATAATATGATAAAAATCAAAAAAATCAAAAGAAAATAAAGAATCGGACCGAAAACCTCAGGATGCGCTTTTAGTAAAATAGGTAGAGCCATATATGTGAAAAATACCATATATATGTAAAGTAAAAAAATGTGAGGTTCTATGAAAAAAGAAAAGATACAAAATTTAATTATATAGTTTACTAGATTCTCATGTAATGGTTCACCAGGAGGTCCAAATATCATTTTAACGAGAGAATATATCATATCCAATATTAGAGGTTGGAACCGGTTTTAAAAATTCGAGTTTATCACATCAAAATTCGGGTTTATCACACCAAAATTCGAGTTTATCACATCAATTATTAATAATTGATGTAATAAACTCGAATTTTGGTGTGATAACCCCGAATTTTGATGTGATAAACTCAAATTTTTAAACCCGGTTCCAACCTCTATCCAATATATCTGATATATATCTCAAATTGTTTGTTATTGTGTCAAGATTTTCGCGAGTATCAAGTACTTGTCTTGCACTATTAATGCAAATTTCTTCCTTATTTATTTCAATTTTATAACTGAGGTTTGCGCCAAAATAAAATAGCACATGGTTTAGTCTTAAAAATGCAAGTTTTTGAATGATATCGCGATTGGATAGCCGTGAAAAATTTTGCTCGAGATTTTGCGACATGGTTTATTTTTTATTCTTATTTTTTACAAAAAAATTTTTTTTTGGATTGAAAAAAAATTTTGAGAGAGTGCGTAGAGGGGTCTTTATATAATAAATTCATACAATCAAAAAATATTTATAAATAAATAACGATTCTTGACAAAATATTAATTTTGTGTAACCGATAGCTCCGTCTTTTGGACCTGGTCATATGATTCTGCAGTCCTATGGGTCCGCAGAATCATGTGATCTTTGGATTTTAAATAACTATATTAACACTTAAGAAAAATACTCGAAAAATTCTCTGATTGCATTAGAAAGTAAAATGTAATTTCTCAGAGTTAAATCTGACCAATAGAAAATATTCTAATTTATTTAACCAATATGGTAATTTATGTTGTTTTGATTCTTTTCAATTTGACCAATAGGAAAATATCTTAAATTGTTATAGATGTGTTCCAAAATTTTAATCTGAATTTATAACAAATTTTGTTTTCAATAAATTATTATATATATGTAGTTCAAATTTCTACATACTGGCATTTTATTAAAGCAAAAAAGATACTCCTCAAATAAAACTAAATTAAAAACAGTCAAGTCGATAATATCAAAAAAAAATAGACAAATTAAAAAAAAATTAGCTAACACAGTTCTTTTTTGCATTTTAGAAGTGAGGCAGAGGTTGGTCAAGTAACTTGCTGAAGATATTTAAATGCCTGAATGGATCCCTCTCAAAAAAGAACCGTCATCAATTAATTTGATAAATGAAGAGTGAAAAGAAGTAAAAAATTGGAATGATGAAAAGAGCAATCTGGTTTTTAAGTCATGGCATACATTTCCCTTTGGTATTTGTTCTTCCTTTATTAATTTTAAATTAAAGATCAATACATGTTCTTAAAACTTAAAAATACTTACTTTTTAAAGAATTCCAATTCTGTATTCAAATTGTCGCAAGTTTTTTTTCAGTTGATTTAATTCAAGTTGAAGTTTTTCCAATCCTTTTTCTCTTTGTACTATGTATGAAGCAGCTATTATTTAGCTTAGTATATCTGTTATTGCATAGTTACAATATTAAAAAGCGATTCACCTTTTTTCAATAATTTTGCATTACCCTTTTTAGAGTAAGTGGCCAGGAGTTGTTCTTCAAGCATAATAAAACCTTGAGCAATTGTTTCACGTCTTTTTTCTCTTCTTCTACTTTAATATTTCTATATTCTTCCGGGTCAATATTTTTAGTCCTTCTCTTTTTTTTAACAGGCGTATCATTTCTAAATTTATAGCGGTAAAATTTATGTTGAGATAGATATAATTTCTTTATTAGTTAATTCAAAGCAGTAAATTAGAGTTTTGTCTTGAAAATGATCTTATGGAACATGTAATTACTATGCTAAATAACATCATTATAAGGAAAAGCCTGATTAATACCTGTTTACATCATCATCAATAAATTCAGAAATATTCAATTGTGCATCGATATGATCCGGTGTTGAAAAATAACCAATAGTAGCATTAAAATTTTCATTATAAGGCCAGTGTTCTGTGCATATACATGAACATTTATTTATTTGGCATTTCTTAGATATAAGTGCAGTCAAGATAAAGCTTGTCATCGGGCAATTATGTAAAACAATAATAATTTCTTTACCTTCGCTTTCAAATAAGGATTGATTGAAAATTTCAAGTTGCATATTTCCGATGTCTTGACATAAAGTAGGATGAAAATTATTAAAGGTTTTTCTATAATTTAGAACAAACAATGAAGGATTATTCATACCTATTATCATCAATATCATATAGAATAAAATTATTATCGACCGAATTAATACTGTAAATAGTGATGCCATATATGTTCGGATTAGATTCTTTCGAATAATTTTCACAATATTTTAACCTTTTCAAATGAGCAAAATTCAAAGTATCATTAACTGTTAAATGAGCAAAATCCAAAGCATCATTAACTGATACATCTAGAGCGCAGAAAAAAATATGTTAACTTATTGGCTTTGTCATGAATTAAAGCAAGCTTTAAACATGCTATTCAGAATTAAACGCGTCCTGGATTTGCAACCAAAAATTGAATGAGATTATTAAAATTCATTATATCGATCTTTCTTTAAAAAAGATATAGGAAAAAGGTAATAAACAACACTAATTTATAAAATTTCAGCCTAATACATTATGTAAAGATTTGCTTTACTATTAAACAAGAATTCTGAAAAATTAAATTTTAAAAATCTGCATATTATATGATATATTGTATAAATTAAATTATTAATATTGTAAATAAAATAAACCAAATTAATGCCTTAACTCTCACAGCTCATATAAATTCGTTAAGTATAATAAATTTTTTTTACAATGGGCTCTTAATTAAAAAAATACTAGGTAATGCACGAGCACCACCTGTAGTTATATTTACTAGATAAATCTCTATTATTTATTTTAATTATCTTTCTCTTAACTACTAATTGAGTTAAATAAACTGCATATTTCTTTATACTGATATTAAACATTCAGATCTAACCACTATTTAGTCTCTTTGCTCCTGGTTTCACGTAGTTTTTTAATTTTGTTTCCAGCTATTTTTAGTAGATCATCATTCCAAACCACCAACTTTTTTTGCATACTCTAAATAAGATAAAGCAAATTCCTTATTTGATTTACATCCAATTCCATTTTCATTACAGTGTTCTAAGAAATAATTGGCTTTCGAACATATTGCTTTGTTCATGCTCATTTGCAAATTGTGAAAGACCTTATAAGCATTTTCTCGATCTGGCATCTTTTTAAGTCCATTCTCCGCAGCTTCAATAGAATAGTATTGAATTAAATAAATCCTGCTTTCAATATTTTGAAAGTATTTACTAATCTTACAAAGATCAGAAAGTGATATATTCTTTTTTATAATAGAGTTTTCTACAGATAATAATTTTTCAAGAGTTCAAATATAATTTTTCGGGCAAAATTAGAGCATAAAATTTTGGCAGAATTGGAATGTAATTTGGGCAGAATTCGATTATAAATTTTATAAATTTGGGCAAAGTTAGAAATAAATTTTGGCAGAATTAGAGTAACAACACAAAAACATTTATACATTGCATAACTGAAATTATCAGTATATGATATTATTTTATACCTAAAAATACGTAGAGTCAATAGAAACCAAGCAAAATTTTTTTTAATAAGCTTTTTTTAAAACTTTAAACAAGGATAAATTAACCACTTGCTTTATTTTCGTGTCAATTTTTAAATAATATTTAAATATTATATATACTGTAGTCAATTTTATTAACATCAAAACATTACACACTTTCAGAAAGTAGATACTGTATAAGAGAATGTGTATGTAAAATAATTACCCATCTTCCGCATTACTTTAACAAACAAGTTAAAGGAAATCTAAATGTAAAAATATTATTCAACTTTAAGGCAAATGAAAACTGTAAGAGAAAAAACGACAAATTCAGCAGCAATTAGAAAATAAAAAGCGACGGTTATTATTTATTATAAAGGTTATGCAGAAACAATGTAACATGCAAATAAAATATCAAAACATTCAAAGAATAAATTTTGCTTTATTAAGCATTCCTTATATTTTCTCTTTGTACTGTAATTTTATTTATACTTGCATTTTTATATATATACTATAATAGGAAAAAGTGGGAACTGAAAACGTATAAAATTTTTTTTTTAAATTTTAATTGCGCCAGCATTACAAATAAAAATTTGACCGAATTATTCACATGATCAAAATTACATGAAATTTTACTTTCTAATTTTCAACCTAATTATTTTCTTTATACCAATTGGGATTCCAACGCCTAGGATCATCATCATGAAGAGATTTCAAACATAAGAAACCTTCATTATAATATATTCGAGAATATTTCTTAGAACAAAACAAACATTTAACTTTTTTCACAAATGGTTCTGTTTCCATTTTCCTATACCTACAATCATAAAAATTATGACTAGTACATTTACTATACCATTTAGCTTCATAACATAATTCATACCATTTATAATTTTTATGATAAGTGCTCCCCCATTCCCATTTATTTTTCCATTCATTATATTCATCATTACTTTTTTCCACAGTAATACAGTTCTCATGTGGAGGCTTCTCTTTATTATATTCGGAACAAAGACATTCATTCTTTTTCTTACAACACCAATTACACATATCGGTACTCGGAGTTTCACCGAAAAATTGCAATTCATAATCTAAAACTATCAAAACAACTATATAGTCTCTCGTTATTATTTTAATACAAAATTTTATTAAATGTACTTACAATTCATTGTTATTTCAGTGTAAAACGCTAATACAAGTGTTGAAGTAAACACTTCGTTCAACTTCTCGAATTTAAATAAATCTTATAATAACTATTTTTTTTTTATCACATGTCCGCACCTAGATCAATTACGACTCATGTTAACCGTTTATTATCATTAAATCCAGTTATAAAAAAAAACAATACAATACAATATCAAGGTAAATATAATTTATTAACTAATAACTTATTGCTGTACGAATATATTATTCATCACACTAATATTACGATTTATTGAATAAATTAAAATATTAATCTTGTATATTTCGAATAATATATTCGGGATTAACTTTAATTATATCGATAATTTTTTTTAATCCAATAATAAGATAAACCGGAATTATCAATAGTCTATTTAACAGCTAATGTATATAACTAAAAAATTATTTATACAACGTATATATCATTGTATTGTAATATATTCTAACACTTAATCCAATAACTTAATATTACACCTCACTGATCGAAATTATAAGTAATTAACCACCATTACGATGAAATTTCACTTGTTGCACAAACGCATAGTACTAGTGATTGTATTTAATAATCTATTTTTATTATATACGAGATTATTTTTATATATATACAGGACAGATGTAGAAATCAACATTTAAGATAAACCAGTATCGGTATTATCTATTTAAGGCTAGTGCAAATTCAGAACTATATAAATTAATATGTATAATATATATTTATGCTACGTATTATATTTTACAATATGGGATTAATTTTTATTGTATTAATAAACCCGGATTAAAATTATTTTAGTATTTATACAACGTTTTGTATTATCGTTATATAAAAATTATAAGTTCCGACACTATGCATAAAAACATTGTGATACTGCATTAAAATAAATATTACATATCTTGCCTCAGAATAGCATTGTATAATTTTTTTTATAGCTGAATATCTGATATAATGATTAATTACAGTTTACTTTAAAAACGTGTATATAGAGATGTGATTCTTTCAATTATTTTGTGTAAAAACTGAAGTTTTATGTATAAATAATTGAACGGTCACGTCTCTATGCGCGTATAGTACTTTTTTATATTTCATTTGATATGAACCGGATTTTGCATAAGGGAGATAATCTGTTCTTGGATTTCTTTGCGAGGCGATCAATCGTTGTTTGTCAAGATTGAATATTTTTTTTAAAATTTTATTTTATCGATAAAAATGTTTTATGAAAATTATTTTGCAGGTTTTAAAGTTGAAGGGTGTAAATTTTACATCCATTTATGTTTTCTTTTTTAATATCCTCAATCGTTGCTGACATTTTTGGTTAAAAAAATGCCGTACAAAGATTTAATTGGACTCGATAAATACGGTAGGTTTATTTAAGTTGATTGATATTCATGATCACTTATGTGGATCTTTGTAGAGGTGACCTACAAGGAATGTTTGATGCTTGTCGATTTCTACACGGAAGGGAGGCACCCAGAATGGGTGACTCCGAGAACATTATATGTTTTCGAAATATTTAATCTTCCCTCTCAGGAACGGGATGGCGACAACGATAGCGACAACAGCAACAACGACAGCAACGACAGCAGCAACTACAGCAGCAACTACAGCAGCAACTACAGCAGCAACCACAGCAGCAACCACAGCAACCACGAATGCAACGAGAAATACAGAAAAGTTTAAAAAATCTGATATTTGAAAAAACGATGCTTGAGTGTAAATTGCGTGAATTAGACGATGAGCTTAAGAAACCAAATTTGGAAGCACATATTCACAAAGTGTTAATGATGAGTAAGAATTTAAAGGTTACACATCTAATAAACGTAGAGCAAGCGATCGTAAAATTGAATAATGAGTTGCGAGGGTTTGAAATTTTGTGAGGTTTTGAAAAACATGAGAAAAATGAATGCAATATATGTCTTGTTGAAGACGAGCGTTTAACTTTCAAATGTCTGAAGTGTGATTATCGTTGTCATTATGAGTGCTGGGTTAAATAGTTCAATATTTGTAGTTTTATGCAGTGCCCACATTGTAGGCGTTATTATTAGCAAATAATTTAAAAAATTTATGTTTTAATGAATATATTAGATCTTGTATATATTTGTAAAAAAAAAAAATTATACATGACATTATTTTTCTTTTTAATAGTAAATGCAGGTCGTTTAAGAATACTAAAGTCTAAATCGTAACTACTACTATTTTTTCTTGTTAGAGATAATCTTATAGGTCGATTCACGTGACCTCATCTCTGCCTTAACGTTGGCAGAGATAAGGTCTCGTGATCAATATCGGCTCACCATGATATTCATAAATAGTTAATAATACAATAGTTTTTTTTTTTTTGAAAACCTAATAATTTATAGTTCGTATTAGATCACATGAATTCCCTCGAGTGTTAATCCAAAAAATTTTTTCAACGCCAAGATAGACATAAATTTAAAAAAAATGATACCAAAATCAACTCTTTATGTTCTTTTTACCAAAAATTTTTTATTTTGCTTTTTACTATTTCATGTATACTTAATTTGTTTATTTATTATTTTATTATCACTTAGTAAACATTCATCTGATATAAAACTTCAATATGAAAAGTATGCGAGCTCCGTCGATAAAAAGCAATTAAGAAATATTAAAGAAAATGTAAGAGAAGATATAATTCTTGCAAAATTAAGTTTATAATGATTGAATTCGCGCGTATCACAATAAGTTTCCTGAATTTTATATTCGATTTATAACTTGTTCACTGCCATCCTTAAATCGGACCATTAATTTGCTCTGAATTTTTTTAATATGGGGTTGAGTCAATAGAAACCAAGCAAATATTTTTTAATAAGTTTTTTTAAAATTTTAAACAAGAATAACTTAACAAAAACTTGATCAAATTTAATAAAAATTTTTTTAAATTAATTCTACAAGTTTGTAAAAATTATTTAAAAAAATTTTCATTAAATTTGGTCAAGTTTTTGTTAAGTTATTCTTGTTTAAAGTTATAAAAAATTTTTATTATAAAAAATTTGCTTGATTTCTATTAACTCACCCCCATATATTGATTGCTTTCAACAGGTTATGCTTTAATTAGGCCATTAATTTGCCCTGGATTTTTTCTCATACTGTATATTGACAAGCTCAGGCCATTAATTTGCCCTGAATTTTATATACAATTTTTTGCGTGTTATTCGTTGGATAATTGTCTAGCAAATTATGAATAGAAAGCACTATTTAAATAAGTTTTATATAAATTTGTTTGACTAATTATATTTACTTATTTGAATTTGAGGCAAAAATAGCCGTGTTCTACAGTTTTGGGCAGATGTCGCCCATCGCGAAGAAGATGACAAAAGTAGCAAAAATAGTAAGTTTATGTTTAAAAATTTAATTACAAGTATATATTATATAATTATTTATTCTAACTTAATTTAATATTACTGGTAATAGTTCATAATTTAATGAATTTTGCATCTGGGAGATTCCTCTTGGAACTTAAGTTATGTGATGATTTGGTACAACTTGACGATTTTAAGAAACTTGTCAATAATATGATAGAAGAGCATCGTAAAGTTATTATACAAAAGACTCAAGAAGCACACAAAAAGGCGATCATTCAAAAATGGAAAGAAATAGCAGTTAGTAAAATTAAATCTGATTTAAAAATATTGATGAGATGATAAATTCTTTTTGACATTTTTACATTTTAGGGAAATAGTTCATTATTCTTTTCAAATTCTTTTGTCATTTTTGAAGACAAATTTATTCAAAAAAACCTACTTGATTCTTTCTATTGTATGACAATCGACCTTTTTTGTGACTCTGATCTATGGCGTAATGTTCTCGGGACAAATTTTACACGATTCAAAATATCAAAATTTGAATCAGTAAATCTTAAAAATATATTTGAAATTAATAATACAGTTAAAGATTCATTTGAAAATTTTAATCTCCAGAATATTAATGAGTTGCAAAACCCTGATATTTCTATCGAATATTTTCTATCACTAAACTTAAAGTTATCAGAAGGTGTTTATAGCGAACGAGTTAAAGGATCTATTATTGAAATCTTAAATTTGTGGTAAGATAACTAAATTAAACAATGATAAAAAATATTTGTATTATATTTTTTTATTTAATTTCATTTAACTTAGGATAATCACTTGGAAAAAGGACGAAGAAATTGACGAAAAAGACTATGTTCATAGATTTATCATCTCGCCTTTAGAGAAACTTCTTGGAATAAATTTATTACGCTATATTACACTACATGGGTAAACAATATCAAAATTAATATATTTATCATTATTGTTATCATTATAGTTTAGTTAATTCTAGTTTTAAATAATAACACTATTAAAATATTGTAGACTGGAACATCCAACATATTGCTTATATGAACGCAAAAGTTTCTTTTTTAATTTTGATGATTTGGAAGCTTCTAGTTGTCAAGTTTTCGATCAGTTAGTTAATAATGAGGATTTTAACAATCCAGAAATTTATTCTAAAGGAATTATGTCAAAAAAGAAATATTGTAAAAAAGTTGATATCACTATTTCTTATCGTGTAGAAAATATGATAAATAATAGAGTTCAATATGGATATTTTTATCCTATTTTGGGTGAAGCTAAGTTCCCAAACATTAATGGTGATAATAATTATAACAAACTCAGTCGAGCATTAAATGACAATTTTAATATAATAATCAATTATTATTCTAAGAAAGTAAAAGGAATTTCAGATGATTTGTTAGATTTATTTAGTGATATCAAACTTGGCAAAATTCATGTGACAGGTGATTTTTAATACATTCTCCCTAATATTTACTTAAAACTAAAAAAAGTTTTTGTTTTAGATGGTGAGATTTATCTCCTACAATATACGAGGTATCCAAATCAAAAATTTGGTGTTTTGGCTGATATTAGTTCTTCCAAGATTCCTTTAAAGTTTGAAGATCAACAAGCTGGATATATGATAGATTTTTTGTATTGTGTAAAGGTTAGTAGTATTAACGAATCTTATAATATAAAATTGGTTAAAACAAATTAAATTTTCTTAGATTATGGTGCAAGATTTTATTAAACAAATTAAAAAAATTGAGAAAAAAATACAGAGAATAAATAAGTGTTAAAATGAAGAATTTGATAGCAAGGGTGAATTTTTATTGAACAATATTCTTACTACCCTGGCCACACCTCTACACAACAAATGATAAATATTCTTTTTTGGATTAAATACTCAGATTAAATATTTGGATATAATTTTGTTTTATTTCATTAAATAAAAGAAATAAATTGTTAAATATTCA